ATATACAATTGTAACACAATCCTAGCGCCATCTGGTTGTTTATAACCTGATGATCGACGTTCAATCCCGCCAGGACATCACATCGAGCAATAAAACAGGCGGTGACACAAAGTGTTATCATTCTGAAAAGGATCCCTCGGAGACAGGTCCCAGAAATCCAGTTCAACCTTAAGGGTTATATTAGGACCCTGATCACAGCCGGGGCGGAGCTTCAAAACAACAATACAATTGCATCCCGTATCTGGACACATGGTTAACATTAGATGGAAGATGCATTACTGATAGAAAACAGAATAGAACAGGCAAAAAATGAATTTTATAAAATGAAAAACATCTTATGCAAATTGCTTTATCACTGCGGGTTAGAAAAAAGAATTCTTGCTTGCTACATTCATCCAGTTTTAACATATGGCTGTGAATCCTGGACAATCGGTAGGCAGACCAAACCATTTTTTGAGGTCTCAGAGATGTGGTTTTACAGAAGAATGCTTCAAATTGCTCGGACAGTCGAAAAAGAGCAACCAAGAGGTTTTGAAAGAGGCGGGAGTCAGAAGACAACTAATCACAGACATCAGAAGGAGACAGTCATAATTTTTCGGCCATATTATGTGAAGAGAGAAAATAGAATATGTTGTGACCACTGGAAATATCTTTGGAAGGACGGATAGAGGAAGACAACAGAGAAGATTCTTGACAGTCTTTTTGCATGGCATGGAGGTGTGTCAGCAAACGAACTGATACATTCTGCAGGAGATCGCAGACATGGTCGCCCACGCCAGTCGGCAAGGCACCTGATGATGATTAGCGGAGACGCCCACTACAGAAACAGATGGCGCAGTGATGTCACCTTGCCGGAAGTGATACATAGGAGGTGTCGATTGTAGAACCCAGGAGAGCAGGTAATTCTTCTTAAAACTCATAGCTCACTTTGCTTGCATGTATTAATTTCCTCTTCTAGATCACTAGAATTTAAGTTTTTTAAGAAAGCAAGTTTTACTTCTGTTTAATCTCTCAAGCCTTTGCGTAACAACTATTTCGATGTTTCTGATATACACAGGCCTTTCTCTGACATTGTCCCAAGTCCTGATCTCTTTTGCATAAATAATAATATTTATCTGATAAATTTTATCATGATAATTTGTATCTTCAGTTTTATTTGTGTAAACTTATAATAACTGTGGATTACTTGTTTTACTTTATAAATAAATGTACTAGTCACCCTTCTTCTAAACGTAATTCTTTCAGGCCCATGAAATTTGCTTGCATTAAATTCCCTTTGCAAAAATGGCAGAGAGAGAGAGAGAGAGAGAGAGAGAGTGGTGTTTAAAAAAATGGCAATTGAAATATATTTCTAGTCTCTACGAAAATCTTTGTATTTTTAAAGAGAAATGAATGAATGTTTTTGTTTAATTCTATTATAGTCAGTAGAAAAAAAAAAAAATTCAGCAAGGTTTACAGACAAAATTTAAATCCCCTAAAAATTCTTAACTTACCATGGCTTTGCAGCACAAGAACAGTGTATATCAAAATCTGAGAATCAAACTTTCAAGTCTCTTCGATTTTCCAACAAATTCAAAATTTATGATAAGTTTCTAAGTTAGTTTATCATTCAGAAGCTCTAGGTTCTCATAGAGTGTTGAACATTTTTCAGAGAAAACAAGTGGCAGAAAAATGGACTAATACCCACAAAATATTTACTGTGTAGAGTTAAAACAGACTGTAGCTGCAATGTATTCAAAGCAGCTTAGTCATAGAATGAAACTGTTTGAGTCCTTTGGATGCAAATGGGGGTGACTGTAACATCTTTCGCGAACAAAATGGGTCCTCTTGGTTGTAGGTAATTAGAACAGCTGCATTTTCTAACAGCTCAGCTACCGCTTGTTCAAATTCACCGTCCTTGTTACTTTTTTAAGTTTTTAGATTTCACTGTCCAAAAATGACGCTCGCAATAAATTTGAAAATTGTGTCAGCTAAATGTATACATAAAGACTTGTAAACAAACTCAGATGTTAGAATAGCTTTTCCTGAATATTTTAATGATAGTTCCAAACATTAAAAGCAAAAACAAAGTGGTATTCAAGTCAATTTGCAAGGGACACACAGTTGACGCAGACTATCTGGCTCAGTCAAATCGGAACTTCTCAGCCAACACACACATCATTGCTCATGTTTGAAAGGGTCAAATGGGGCAATATTCATTTAACTCTTTGAGTCCCAAGGAACGCATCATACGTTCATAGGTTCCTACCTAGAAGCCCAATAAACGCATGATGCGCCGATTTTTTTAACTTTCTTCACTACCACCTGGGCCTGTGATGCTAAACCCCCTGGGACTCAAAGAGTTAAATTAAACACATTTCTTTTTTATACACAGTAAAATCATGTGTGTACATCACTTTAAAAAAGTAAACATTTTAGGGAGAAACCAAGTAATTTTGTGCACCGCAGGGTCAACATTAGGGTTGGTTGGTTGGGTTGAATAAGGCATCTACACTTTGTTCTTGCTGGGTTGGTATCTGAATAGTTAGTACTAATTGACACCTGGTATCAGAGTTTCATGCTGCAGTCAGAGAAAAGGAATGCAGGAGCCTTAGAAGAGAGTAAAAAATCTGATCTTGTCACCTTTGTTTAAAGAATAAATAACAACATTATATAGGTTGACATTCAGTAATTGGACTAAAATAATGTGCTGATAGCAGGTGTTCAGAGGCTCTTGAACCTGCTGGGAAGGGGGGGGGGGGTGTCAGCAATTAGATTAAAATAATGTGATGATGGTAGGCGCAGGGGCTTTTGAAGCTGGGCTTTTAGGCACTATGAGACGGCCACCCGTCACTCCCCCCACCCCCCCCCCCATATGTGTTTACATGCGCCTAGAGTCACACTCCCCCCCCCCCCCTTCTCCCTTTTAGCTTCTGTAATTTGTTTTTTTTTTGGGGGGGAAGGGGGGGGGGGGGGGTGAAGCAGGAATGACATTCCTTCCCTTTTAGTATAATTTCAAGGGGCTAACTGGTTCCCCCAACAATCTGTAGATGTTCTCTTTCTCAAATATTTGATTATTCTTTTCATAATAATTATTATTTCTAAAATATTTTTCCCATTTAGCACATAAGGATAATAATACTAATTGGGCACTTAAACAAGGTTTTAACTCCTTGAGCCCATCTCTCATCCCATAGCTAATGTTATGACTTTGGGCTTGTCCCAGAACTTATGTTGAGTTGAACTGGTTCTATAACCGACATCACAGCACTCGGGGCATTCCCATTAGCGCTTTGACCCCATCTTCAGCAGCCAGCGCAGAGTTCCAATACAAGTGGTGCCAACAGCATTCTGATTATACATTTGTATTGCCTTTTCTCTGAGCGTCCAGTATCGACCAGATCCCCTCGCCCCCCCCCCCCTCCCCTCCCCTCGCGTGCACCCTCCACAGCTGCATCACTCTTGCTAGACTGTGTGATGCATTGTCTCCTCCGAATTGTATGAATTTTCACGCAAGGCCCTAGCTACGTCTGCTTTATCATTCATCAGCATTTTGCCAAGTTGTGCAGTGCCAGCCTGTCTGTCTGCATATTCGTTTTCCAGCACACTGACATTCCCTTGAAAAAAATCAGTTCAATGCTCCTCACCCGTGACCTTTGCAGCGAAGCATGTCACTCAGCATGAAGCATGCCTGTCCTCACCTTTCTCAACATGTTTTCTGAGTCAGTTACAGTCACGATGTGTGTGTGTGTGTCATGTTCTCTAACTAGTGAAAAGCTGCAGTCACTCCCTCCACCTCCATTCTTAAGCTGGATGTTGTAGTATCATACACTAGACTCTCCTGCACCAAACGTCAATTTTTGGTTTTTCCTAAGAACCTCCAAACACTTCTTTTGCCTTTTGACACTGACCCGTCTATATAAACAATCACATCCTCTGAACTAGCGCTGTCGTGAAAAATTGATGAATTTCCACTTCTGTGGCACCTGCTGGCCACTGCCTGCACTCCTGGCTCAATATGACTATGACTCTACACAAATCTGACTGTTCCGCTGGCACTGTGACCCACTACTATCCTCGCCTAATGTTCTTCAGGTTGCAGACCTGTCTGACTGTGTCTTCTGCCTGAGCCATCTATGACTACCCTTTTATCAGCCACTGACCCTTCAATGCATCCATATTTTCGTGCAAAGGTTGATCTGTGTCTGCAGCTACCTTAATATGTGACTTTGCCTGCAGCACCTTGAGCCTACCTACAACAGTCGTCAAACCCAGGATGTATCACAAACACACCACTTGGGTGTCTGTGGTGCAACTCAGTGACCCGCATAGCTGGGGTCTGTATGAGCTCTAGTTTAACCATCATATTCTTTGAGATATTAAGCAGTCCCAGTCTATAACCAATCACTGAAAGTATCAGGTGCCGATAAAGTGTGAAGAACTTAAGTTGTGTGTACACATCCACATCCGTTTTACAAATCTGACTTATTAGTATGCTGACTGTTGGTTCCTCATCTCTCAGGTAGATGAACTCTGACTTCAAAGGAAACACACCTAATTAATCACATTTTATGACATGCTGGTTAGGTTGCAGTTCTCCCCCCCCCCCTCCCTTTCCAAATGGGACCCCAGGAACACACACAGTGAACTTGAAATTCAGCATTAAACTTAATGTAATAGAGATTTCTGGTCAATGTTGCTCATCCTGTATTCAATTGCTGCTTTTGTTTTGTCTTAATCTCTTCTTTGTCTCTGTGTCCACAGAATTACCACAGACAGTCCAGTGATGACATTATGTACATTATAAAGTTCATTTATAATTGTGGGAGCAGAACAGAATACAGACTGTTAACTGCATCTTTGAAAGAAGACCAGGATAAATTCCGAGAAGACCAAGATAAATTCAGTAACCTGGTTAGCAAAAGCACTAATATTTACTGCCACAACAAAAATGGTTGCACTGCTATGCTAGCATTCTTGCAGGTTTCAGTAGTATTTTCACATTCCCTCTAGACTTAGAAATGAGTGTTCAGGAGAAAGAATACAATGAGTGGATTCCACTGCATACTTGTGTGCACAAAAGGGACATTCATATGGCTATGAAAGTCATTGCTCATGGATGTAACATTAATGCAACAGACAATGATGGTAGTTGCCCTCTACATATCTGTGCTAGCTGTGGTCACACTGAAATGGCCAAACTCCTGGTGGAGAATGGGGCTTTTTTGGAGCTCAGGGATGGATTTCAAATGACTCCACTTCTGCTAGCAACCCGCAAGGGTCATATTGATGTTGTAGACTTTCTTCTTGAGGCTGGAGCTTCTGTAAATGTCAGTGACTGCACTGGAAAAACTCTGCTACACATGAACGTTAGCTCTGGTAATGTAGATATCGTACAGCGGTTAATTGCCAGAGGTGCTAAGGTCAACGTTTCGGATATGCATGGTCGCACACCGTTGATTCAGGCCAGTGTTATGGGTCATACCACACTTGTAGAAATGCTGCTTAACACACAGGCCTGCATTAATGCTGCAGATGATACAGGAATGACATCGCTGCATGCAGCTGCAGGCAAAGGTTATGTCCCAGTTGTTGAAATACTTTTAAACAGAGGGGCTTCACTTGAAAGCAGAGACATAACTGGGCAGTGTCCATTACATGCAGCAGCAGAAAATGGTAACTTAAATGTTGTTAAAAAATTTGCAGCAGAGATGGCATTTCTAGATTTACCTGATGGTGAAAATCGCACCCCGCTTCACTTGGGCTCTGCACATGGACATCTGCAAGTTGTAACTTTTCTTCTGAAGAGTGGAGCATCCGTAAATGTAAAAGATCGCTACGGCAGCACTCCACTGCATCTTAGTGCATTAAATGGCCATGATAAAATTGTAACAGTGTTGCTAGACAACGAGGCTGCTGTCAATGCACGGAACTTGGAGGGAAGCACTCCTCTGCACGAAAGCACACGAGAAGGGCATCATGTGTGCTGTACAGTTTTAGCCCTTCACGGTGCATCTCTTGATGTGCAGGACAAAAAGAGCATGACCCCACTTATGATTGCTACACAGCTCAATCATAGAAACTGCCAGATGTCACTAGAAAGATGCAGTGACAAATATCAGGACACACTGTCTCATTTAGGTAGCTATTTGTGTTTGGTGTATTAATTTTTGTATACTTCATCTGCCTCCTTCTCCTCTTCTTCTTCTTCTTTTTCTTCTTCTTCTTCTTCTTCTTCTTCTTCTTCTTCTTCTTCTTCTTCTTCTTCTTCTTCTTCTTCTTCTTCTTCTCCTTCTTCTTTTTCTTGCATTATACTCATCCTACTCTTCAGTCTAACTTTTTGTGTTTTCTTTTTCTTCTTTAAATAGGACTGGTGTTCTGTGTCACTTCTACAGATTATAGTTTTCCATATCAACATTTTAGATAATTTATCTGTTTCTGCTTCTGTCACTGCTAATGTTTCTTGTCACCAAATTGTTCTACTGTGCCTCTCTTCTCATAATATGACCAAAGAGCACCATTTTTTTAAAACCGTATTTCTCCAAAAAATAAAACCGGATTTTATATACATTTTTATTCCAAAAAACTCCATGTGGCTTTTTTTTAGAAGATGTCTGTGTGGCTTCCAGGACCCTGGGGAAAACAAGAATAGACATACTGCCTCCCCAACAGCCGTCTTGTAGCAGTTGACTAATTGGGGGACTTCCTTTGAAGTCGGAGTGCACCTGCCCGAGCGGCAAGGTGCAGCCAACTGCACACAAATAAGCCAGTAAAATGTACATGCAAAACTCAGACCCTGGCACAAAGCTAAAATCCAAATGGACAGGCAACCAGGACTCTCTGCCGTTGAACAAAGAGAAAGATGTCATATTGTTTCATGTAAAAAAAAATCAACATTTATTCTAATCGAGTCATGTCATCATTGTAAATTAATGTGAACAACGTGTTGTTGAACATACAAACAACATCTATCCCTCTGGCTGACGGTTTTCTTCTTCTTCTGCCTTTCTATCCCCCAATGGAGCATAGGCCCTCAACCAACTCACGCCAGGTTGTTCTATCCTTCGCCATTGCATGGAGCTCTCTCCATGTCCTCCCCTTCTTTCTAACTTCATTCTCCAGCTCTCTTCTCCATGTGTTTTTTGGCCTTCCTTTATTCCTATGCCCCTGTGAGTTCCAATGCAAAGACATTCTAGTTATGCTGTTCTCCTTTTGTCTCAGTATGTGTTGGGATAATGCTTATATTGTGAGCATCCAGAAAAATTACACCAGGTCTTTTTTTTGGGCTTAGGTCTTATTTAAAAGGGACAGTGTAGTTGGTTCTAATGTTCTTTCAACTGATCCTGCATGTGATGAGTTGTGATTATGGTAGTAACGAAGATGTTCATAGTGATGATGATGATGATGTTAATTAGTTAGTTAGCTGGGGATCTGGCTGATACTCGACGCTCAGAGGAAAGACAAGACAGACTTATAATCAGACTGCTGGTGGGACCTTTAGTATTGGAACTCTCAGCTGGCTGTGGCTGCCGAAAATGGGGAAGGAGCAATTATGGGAATGCCCCGAGTGCTGTGATGTCTGTTTTTGAATTAACTCAACTCACTTAGTTAGTTAGTTAGCAAGTTTAGTTAGTTAGGTAGGTAGTTAGGTAGTCAGTCAGTCAAAGTTGCAACGTCCCAGCAGATGGGTTTGGCCATAACTGATCTGTTTCTGTGCCGTTGGAAATGACACAGAATGTCCTTCACTCTTCTGTTTGAAAACTAGCGAAAAACCTGTCAGTCCCTACAAAATCTTGGAGCTTGCCACTTAAGTAAAATGCATGAGGCAGCCCTCAGGTTAGGTGTGCCAGCACCAGAATTACAGCTAACTGTTCTCGCAGACAGCCAGTTATGAAAGCTGGCCTTGCGTCCGCAAAAAGTTCACATCATTTCTGATCAGATCTGGCTACCTGCCATTTTAGAACAGTCAAGGGTGTCTCCGTGGCGAAGTGGTCAAGCTGTTTGCCTTGCTCTATAAAAGTCATGGGTTCATTTCATGGCAGCACCGTTCATTTTGCAAGTGCAGTTTATATGGAGATCCCTGGGGATCATCCCCGGAGCTACCGAGGTCGTGATCTGTATGACGATCTCGGCAGGCAGCTAGCTAAGAGAGACTGAGCCATATGGGGTACAACCCAGTGCAATGCTGGTAAATTAAATAATGGTGATCAGCCAATGATGCTAATGAAGGCAACTTTCACAGCAACTTTGCCAGTTATTATGTAACTGACTAGTAAACTAGGTGCAATAATTGTTAAAGAACTTTTTATTTTCAAGAAATATATATTATCTCATAGACTATCACCGAAGTTCTACACCTTCTGCAGTGTCCAGAAACAGTAATTTACCACCAACTTCTAAGAAGCAACAGGCTCAGCGACCACTTCACAAATCCAGAAGCTGTACTGTTACAGGCGAGCCACATAGACCGTAAGTGGAAGCTCTATTATATTCTGTACCTCAAATTTATTTTTATGTGTGAGTGAAAGGAGATAGGTGGGAAAGGAGACATAGTAGGAGACTAGAATTGGCCAAAGAATGTTGTATACTTGTGTCATAAGGCCCCTAGGCTAGTCACGAAGGTCAGACTAGGTCACCCCAAAATGTCCTGGCCAGTGGAGCTCTGGTGACGCTGTGATAGACCTAGTGAGCCAGTAATAGATTTATTATCATGTATTTGTTTATGTATGCACGATACAAACCAACTCATCAAATAACATTCCACCATGGCAGTGTTACAGTACTATGAGACAAAAAAAGAGAAATACAAGAGTATACTATACAAGGCATACAATAAAAGAGGAGAGAGATGTTGAGCACGAGGTTGACCAAGAACAAGATGGAACAATAACATCAGAGAAACTTTACAGCCATAAAGTGTCTATGGTCGAAGCAGCTAGAAGAGCAAGAATCAGAGCCTTGTATCTCCAACACCCAAAGTTATAAAAGAGGAGTTGAAGAAGAAGAGTAAATTAAAGGTAGTTCCATAGCAGTTACTGCTGTTGGTGTGTGATCTTCTCATATTCTAGGCTTTGCCGTAGAAGGTAGAATGGCCACTTAACTAATTAATCTCATCATCTCTTTTCCTTCCCACTTGATTCCCATACAGTTCTCAATATAGTTTCATGCTAACTTTTATGAGACTATTGAAAATTAAATGCAGCACGATTGTCGCTACACCACTGAGGTTCTGATACAAGTATAATTTCTAAGATTCATTTCCCTTCCTCCCCGCCCCGCCCTACTTCCAAATCACAACTGTTAAGCAAACTCCTCTAAAAGCAGTGATGTATATACAGGGGACTGCATTTAAGCTGATATAAAGAATTAAGTAAACACAAAATAGAAAGCTCAGTGGAGGGAAAAAAAAAACCAGATGATTCATGCGTGTTTGAGAACATCAAAACTGTGAAAGAACTATTTTCATTCTGAGTTCTCGACCCTGTATTGGTTATGGTTCTTCTTCTTCTTCTTCTTCTACTTATCCTCCTCCTCCTGCTACATCTTCCTCTCCTTCTCCTCCTCCTCCTCGCTAGAGGTCCGAGGTTCAAGCCTCGGTGAAGGGTGGGATTTTTTCAGATGGACTTCTAGTAATTTCCCCTTCTCTCTGAGTAGTAAGATCGGACGCCTATGTGTATTGTTGCGCACTTAAAAAAATACCTTGGCAGTTGGAGGTCGAAAAGAGTAGCTTAATGGCACTGCCCGGGCAAAATTTTGAGTTTAAAATTTCAGGATCCTCGATGTCACAGAGTTCATGCACTGCGCATTCTTTGAACTCAGACTTGAGTTAGAAGTAGAAAGGAGCTAGCACTTATGGGTTACTACCCTTGTGCCATGATGTTGATCCGTTGTTTAAAACCTAAACCTTCTTCTCCTCCTCCTGCTTCTTCTTCTTCTCCTCCGCCTCTATTTTTCATCTTCACTTCCACTTGTACTGCTTGTTTGTCAAAGGAGATATAAGGTTCTGCTCTTTCTTCTTCTGGCTGCCTTGACCATAGACACATCATGCTGTTGTACTGTTTATCTGATGTTATCTTTCCGTGTGGCTCTTGGTCTGCCTCTTGCTGTGTCACTCTCCACTTTTGGTGTCTGCCTTGTATGATATGGCATGACAAGGATTCTCTCAAAGTTGGCAAGCCATTTGATTTGCTGTCTGTGTACTTCATTTAGAATTGGTTCTCTGCTGACTTTTTCTCTTATGGCTTCATTTATCATCTTTTTTCTCTTCAGACCACTCTTGACCTTCTCAGACATCTCATTTCTGTGGTTATTAATTCTTTTTTTTTTTTTTTTTTTTGTTTTGTCAATTGTGAGTGGCCATGTTTGGCAGGGGTAGCATAATGTAGGATTGAATATGCTTTGTATGAGATATTTCTTTGTCCTGATTAGGAGAGATTGTTTCGTACTGTATTAGGGTGGCTAGCTATCCCAATACATGGTTTATGATTTGCTTTACTGTTTCTGATTGTAATTTCGTTATCCAATTTCCTATATTTTTATATAGAATGTTCCCTTATTGTAATATGTTTTATATGTATGAAATACATTTATATAGTAATTTTATATTATTGAGGATGCAAAATCCCTAATATATAATAATAAAACATTAATCAATGTTCTTGTTCTTTTAACAGAACAGTCATTAATGTATCGATTGGTGGAAGCCAGATTGTTCATCATGACAGTAGCTCAGCAGAAGAATCAGCAAGCACTGATAACTTTGATGATGCGTCATCAAGTGCTTCATCAACTGACATGGACGATCAAGCTGCTGCACATTTTGAGCTGTCCAGCAGCTTGTACAAATTTGTGCTCTAACACTTTTCTATGCCGTGACAAAAGTTGGACAAGAATGTACTCTTGTTATCTCTCTCTCTCTCTCTCTTTCTCTCTCTCTCTCTCTCTCTCTCACAACGCTCTCTCGCTTTCTCTTCATAAGTCTTTCAAACTATCCAGTCTGTCCCAGCTTCTCTGTTCTCATGATTAAAAAAAAAAAAAAATTTCCTCATCATTTACATTATTCATTTTTACTGTCCGTGGAAGTGGTTAATGAAATCGAAGATCATTTTGGAAATCTAACGGTAGCAACATAGTTAGTAAACAAATCCCTCTTTAGTTAGTAAGTAGG